TGAGGCGGGGTCGCACATCCTCCTTGCCCTGATCCTAGCACAGGGAGGTCCTGTGCTTGGTGCTGTTGCTTCAATAGCAGCTGCCGTAGCGGCCGCGGACCTTGTACTCCGCCTCGGTCAAGCCGAACTTGACCCATGGAACTTGTACTGGTTGTCCATTTCCGGCCTGCGATGCGGATTTCGCCTTCCTATTGTTGCGGGACTTGTTGTTGCGTCGCGGCTGGACAACAACCACCTGATCTCCGTCACTTGATGCTGGTGTGCCTGCTGGGTTATCTTCACTGTCCGACTGGACTGCAGCGAACTGCTGCTGCCGCGGACCAGTTCTTACCTTCTCCACATAAGTTGGCTGCCACGTGGACTTCTCTTGTGCAGCCGCCCCGTTGGTCTTGATGAGCTCTCTCACCTTGTTAATGATCTCTGCGAAAGTGTTGTACTGCTCGCGATCACCAAGTGCGAGGCTGAGAGCGGCGCATGACCTGTTGTAGAACTCACGCCGCAGATGCAGAAATGACAAGTCCAAATCGGGCGTTGCCACGATCTTCTGCCAATCCGTGAGCCAATCACGTGTCGGTGTGCTCCCTTGAGCCATCATGAAGATGCGGTTGATGGCGAGTGCCGGGGCGTCGTCGACGATGAACCGCTTCTTCCATTCCTTTGTCATATCTTCCCAGGAGACCTTTTTGTACAGGTCTGAAACCTGGACGCCGTGGATGGTTGCCATGTCGCTGAGCCAAATCTGACATCCTCCCTTGGTGTTGATGAACAGAGCACTGATGAACAGATGGTCAGGGACCTCGTGAATCCCCAACTCCGTTGTAAATCCTTGCCACCAGACGACCGGGTCTTGATGTGTGTARTCATCAAATTTCTCGATCCGGAACGTCGGCATCTTGTATGGCCTCGCCGAGCTGTTGTTGTGGCTGTGGCCGGTCTGCTGTTGCTGACTGATCTTGGTGTCTAGCAACTCGAACCGCTGGCTGATGGTGGCCGACTCTGTGAAGGCACTTATGTCTCCTAGCATTGCCACTACGTGGTCAACGCGTTCCTCCAGTTGGTGGCTAGAGGATGCACTGCTGGAAGCCCCAGCATCTGGTCTCGGTACAGCCTGTTCCAGGTCCAGTACACGGGCGTCCAGTGCCCGTGTGGCATCTTCGTGCTGAGTCTTGTGGTTCCGCACGGCCCGCTGGAGGTTCGCCAACTCGGACTGTAGGTGGTTACAAGTATAAACCAACCTGGTCACGAGCTTGGCCATGAACTCCTTATGTTGTTCTTCCGGTGTTGCCTCGTCCCCGTTCGGTTCAAAGTGCCAGTACTTGAGTCTGTCAATGCTACTGGCTTCATGCCGCTGCAGCAGATCCTGGGCTTCCTTGTGGCGAGCCTGGCCATTTGCGTCGGCTTCCGCCTGTAGCCGCAGCTTCTCTGCTGTTGCCGCTTCTTCAGCCTGTAGGTGGGCAGCCGCGGCTGCCAGTTGGCGTTGTTCCTCAACCTCGATGGAAGCGAGCTGAGCCTGGAACGACTTCTTGTAGTCGGCAATGGGCTCATTGGCCAGTTCGCCTGGCAGGCCCGTCATGTTGCTGACGTGGCACTGCTGACGTGGCACTGTGTCTGACGTGGCACTGTGTCTGACGTGGCACTGTGTCTGATGTGGCACTGCTGACGTGGCACTGCTTACGTGGCACTGTGTTTGACGTGGCACTGCTGACGTGGCACTGCTTATGTCGCACTGTGTCTGACGTGGCACTGCTGACGTGCCACTATGTCTGACGTGGCAGACATGGCACTGTGTCTGACGTGGCAGACATGGCATTGTGTATGACGTGGCACTGCTGACGTGACACTGCTTACGTGGCACTGTGTCTGACATGGCACTGTGTCTGACGTGGCACTGCTGACGTGGCACTGCTTACGTGGCACTGTGTCTGACGTGGCACTGTGTCTGACGTGGCACTGCTGACGTGGCCTGCTGACGTGTCACTGTAGACGTGGCCTGCTGACGTGTCACTGTAGCTGACGTGTCACTGTACCAACCCGGAAATGTATGGAAAGGGTGGGTGGGAGGGAAAACGCAGGTAGGAAACCAACCCAACAATACTTTCCTCCGGCCCTAATCAACAGATAAA